GTTGACTATTTGAGCATTTTACAGGAGCTTTATACTTTCTTTTTTAGATTTCCACTAAGATGGAACATTTTAAATCCACAGTGCAGTTGAGATTGTTTTTTTTTTGAAAGGGCTTATGAGTAAGTAGATGGTTTGCATACTATGAAGCAGTCTGACCAATTAAAAATGAATATAAAGATATTCGACAAAATATCAAACATATTTTTGAAGACTCAGAAGTCTGAATATAAAATAGATGCAAAGAATTCGAAGTACAAGTTGGTAAAGTACGCTATTTTAACCCATGATTTCGAGAAGGTTATCTTCTGCTATCATCTTTACATTTGTTTGTGAAAGAATGAATAAATACATTCAATAGAATTGCACATTATTAATCGGAAGCAAAGGTTTTGTGTAAAGATATCACCTCAAGTTATTCTGATGCTTTCAAATGCATTGTTACAAAGAAATTTTCAAATTTAACATGCGATAGGGCTCCTTTGAAAGGAGATGACAAATTTAGGGTAGAATTCTAAATCAGCTACTTAAGAATTTAATTATACAAGAGGATTAGCACATATCAGTAGATTGTGAAAAGGTTCAACTACCTTTCAAAATTAGTGAAAAGTTCCGAAATCAATAAAGACAGTATTAAACTTAAAATATTGCATTTGAAATAAATTATTAAACGAGTGTTATCAGTTCAAAGAATAATTACATTTTAAGAAATCCCAAAGCACAGAAGAAAACACTCCATCTAAAATCCAATATGCAGAAGTTTTTCAACTTTGAGCAATACCTAATTGAAGTGATCCCTAATATTACAACTGTACTTAAACAGTACTTGACAATGTATGTCATAGGCAATGAAACACAAAGAAATTTCACAAAGTTTTCCTTTTCAAAGAACAAAGGTTGGTCAACTATAACTGCAAAGCACTTATATTATTTATGTATATAAATGATATTTCAATGAAATTCAATTCCTATATAAAAAAATGTATGTGAATATGTTCCTAGAGAAAACATTAAAATTTATTTTGTAAAATGTAATTCATGTAGTATATATTCTCTTTATTGTTTAAAATAATGAATTATATTAACTGTAGTCTTTGTATTTGTAACATGTGATAGGGCTTCTTTGAAAGGAGATGACAAATTTAGGATAGAATTCTAAATCAGCTGCTTAAGAATCTAATTATACAAGAGGATTAGCACAAGGTTCAACTAACTCTCAAAATTAGGGAAAAATTCCAAAATCAATGAAGACAGTATTAAACTCAAAATATTGCATTAGAAAGATTTTGTTGGTCATAAACGAGAGTTATCCGTTTATTTTAGGTTCAAATCTTCACGATGCCTTTGTCATAAGCATTTTATAGGTAATAATTAATATTTTAAAACCAAATGTTTTTTCCCATCAGGTTCCAACCAAATGTTTTTTTCCCATCAGGTTCCAACCAAACATTTTTTTCCCATCAGGTTCCAACCAAATGTTTTTTTTTTCCCATCAGGTTCCAACCAAATGTTTTTTTCCCATCAGGTTCCAACCAAATGTTTTTTTTTTCCCATCAGGATCCAACCAAATGTTTTTTCCCATCAGGTTCCAACTAAATGTTTTTTTCCCATCAGGTTCCAACCAAATGTTTTTTTTTCCCATCAGGTTCCAACCAAATGTTTTTTTTCCCATCAGGTTCCAACCAAAGTTTTTTTTTGTCCCATCAGGTTCCAACCAAATGTTTTTTTTTTACCCATCAGGTTCCAACCAAATGTTTTTTTCCCATCAGGTTCCAACCAAATGTTTTTTTCCCATCAGGTTCCAACCAAATGTTTTTTTTTGTCCCATCATGTTCCAACCAAATGTTTTTTTCCCATCAGGTTCCAACCAAATGTTTTTTTCCCATCAGGTTCCAACCAAATGTTTTTTTCCCCATCAGGTTTCAACCAAATGTTTTTTTTCCCATCAGGTTCCAACCAAATGTTTTTTTCCCATCAGATTCCAACCAAATGTTTTTTCCCATCATGTTCCAAATTAAATGTTTTTTTCCCATGAGGTTCCAACTAAAATGTTTTTTTCCCCATCAGGTTCCAACTAAATGTTTTTTTTCCATCAGGTTCCAAACCAAATGTTTTTTTTTCACATCAGGTTCCAACCAAATGTTTTTTTTTTCCCATCAGGTTCCAACCAAAGTTTTTTTTTGTCCCATCAGGTTCCAACCCAATGTTTTTTTCCCATCAGGTTCCAACCAAATGTTTTTTTTTTTCCATCAGGTTCCAACCAAATGTTTTTTTCCCATCAGGTTCCAACCAAATGTTTTTTCCGATCAGGTTCCAACCAAATGTTTTTTTCCCATCAGGTTCCAACCAAATGTTTTTTTTTCCCATCAGGTTCCAACCAAATGTTTTTTTCCCATCAGGTTCCAACCAAATGTTTTTTCCCATCAAGTTCCAACAGGATTAACTACTCTCCCACATTTTCTCCGTCTAGTATTTCTACTCGTTCGTTCAGGATTATCAAAGTCTCTCAATACCTCAAGTCTCAATACTAATAGGACTTAGACATGGCTGCTGCCGTGATACAAATATAAACAAGATACAAAGAATTTGAGTCACAATTTAGGAATGCTGGAATACACTATTTTAAGTCATTTAAAAAAGAAGAAGAAAGAAACTCAAACCCATGGTTTTCAGGTGTTTGAAGGTAAGGTTTTGTTATCATCTTTATTTTCGTTTGTTAAACAATGCCTAAATGAATTCGATAGAATTGAACACCTTTTAGATGTTATTATAATTCCAATGTTACAATGAACTTTTCAAACGAGCTGACAAATTTAGGATGGAAGTTCTAAATCAATTCTATGACTGTGTAATAATGATACGCAAAATGATTAACCCATATGAGCTCTTCTGCTGGTGGGGGATGTGTCTCACAGTATGGACAATTTTAAGAACCCCACCACCTAGTTCTTCTCAATTTGAGCCTAAAAATACTTGCAAGGACAGCAAGGTTGTTTGGACTTTGTTGACAGTTGTACTATTGTTGTTCATTGAGAAAGAGACCCCATGAAAGTTCCAGTTCCCAAAAATGCAGGCCTGGCACTGAGTGCAACGCTTGAAAAAAATCTCGTTATGTATTCAATAGAATATTCTTTAGGCCGATGAAAGTTTTTTGCATTTCAAGGTTGATTGATTGTTAAGTCAAAATGATGAGCGTTCAATGACTAAACAACAGCTAAACGCCAGAAAAAACGGGAAAAAAAATCGTGAATTCCTCCTAAAAATGAAATTGAATTTTCAAGACTATAAACAAAATTTAAACGTATTTACATATTTTACCAGACAGTTTTCAAGAAAAATCAGTTTGTTGTGCTTTTGGTGGAGTGGAATTGTTATCTATTTTCCTATGTGAATTATTTCGAAGTTTATTTAAAATTTAAACATATATGATTTGTTAGTGCATTTTAAGACCCCAGTCTGGGAACATTTCGATACCCCTTCGTCATAGTAGTAATATTAGTAGTAGAAAAAAAAACCCAAAACAACAAATATGGATTTTAGTTACTTTTACTAAAGTAATTAAGTTAAAACAGCATTTAAAATACTTAAAATAATATAGAGTTTTATAAACTGTAGCGTCTTAATCTATTTCCCAATCGTACTTAATTAATGCTAAGAACAAAACTCTTTCCTCCAGGTTTAATGCATATGAAATAGGTTTTGTTAAAATTTGTAGTACTTTTCATAACAACATAAGATATGCCGATGTTGATGGTGGACAAGATAATAATGGAAAGCAAGAAGAAATGACTATTATCACTAAGAAAACAGATTATTTTAATCATTTCACTCCAAGAAAGGCAGTAAAGCCACTAAGAGATAAGAGGTTACTAAGTGTGAAAGAATAAGTAAAAAGAGAAACATTATTAAGGAGCGAGAACAATAAAAGAGGAATCAAGAAGACAGTGGATAACGATTGGCATACCATATCGTCAGCAAAAGAGCAATGCCCAGCAGTAGGTCACCACCGACTATGGATAATACCTTCATGTTGTGTTGTCGTGGAACAGAGTCGGTCCTAGTTAATCATGGGGTTATCTCATGGGGTTATCTCATGGGGTTATCTCATGGGGTTATCTCATGGGGTTATCTCATGGGGTTACCTACCGCTTTGCATTCTTTTCCTCAGTTAAGTTCTGGATTTTCTCTTTCTTCAACTTAAGTTGTTTCAGGGGTACATTGTTGCCGTCAATTGCAGTATCTACCCGCTCCTTGTGTCCAGACCTTTCATATCTTCCTTGCAGACACCCTTTGTAGCGCAGCTTGGCTGGGGGGGCAACATTTTTTGCCAAAGTCTAGTTCGCCGTACAAAATAACCTTTAGGATACAGCCATCTTCCATCTGGCGCACATTGGTCAAGGAAGCGCAGCCTGCGCTCTCTGAACAGCGTGTACATGGTGTGGGATGCCAGCATGTGCGAGGTACTTTACTTTGTTATTCCACTCGATGCCGAGGATGTGGCGAAGCTGTTCCGTTTTCGCTCTTATTTGGCGTCTGTTCTTCAAGATTCACTTCCATACAACAGTGTGCTAATGATGCAGGCGTTGTAAACTGACATCTTCGTAGGAGTTGTCAGCTTTGGGTTCTCCCAGACACGAGTGGAATTCCGGCATGGGGTCGCTGCAGCAATGCTAACGGGTTTGGTGATCTCGGCATCGATTGTTGCTGATGGTGGACACGAGATATGTGAACTGGTGGACGGCACCAACGTATAAAAGACGTCAAAATCCAGTAAGCAGATAATTTTAACTATCTCCGCTGCATCGTAACAGAGACAGATACAAACTAAGCAAAGTATTAGGACCTAGGAAAATATTGTTTCATATATCTAGAAACCTGAAGCGACATATTTGTTGTGCTGACAAATGTTAACAATACAATGGACGGAACACAAAAGAAATTTAGAAAGAGACTAAAACGTTTAGGACACACAATGAGGAAAGAGGGTCTAGAGAATTTAATACCTACGGATTTGTGTGGGTGTATAGTAGAAGAGGCGTTGAGAGAGAGAGAGAGAGAGAGAGAGAGAGAGAGAGAGAGAGAGAGAGAGAGATGGTAAAGGGTTACTAAATGCAACAAAAGATAGGAAGCTGAAGAGAGATATTGATCACACCCTGAAAGAACTTGGTACATAATAGAAATACTTTTCAAGGGACGGTCGTTGATAAGCGAAATATGCATCTCGATCCATTTGATCATTTACATGTTTAGAAGCTAAATTATAGATCAGCTTTACTCTTTAAGAATTTAGTTTTCGTGCTCTCTTCCTCTCTCACTCACATTTGTTCTTTCCGGAAATATATACTTATACTTACAATCAGAAGGAGTCACTAATGTAGTTCTCTTGTTGAATACAGAGAATAACATGGACTAATCATGTGAGCAATAAGGAAGTATTAAGGAAAATATAAGCTACAAGGAAACTTATACTTAAAATCAGAAAGAGACATTGATGTAGTTCTAATGTTGACTGCTGAGAATATGGAATTGATCGATAAGTAAGTCTTAAGGAAAATAGGAACTACAAGGAAACTTATACTTACAATCAGAATGAGACAGTGATGGAGTGCTATTGTTGAATACAGAGAATAACATGGACTAATCATGTGAGCAATAAATGCCAGATTCAGAGTGAGAGAGAGAGAGAGGAAGGATTCTAATAATTTTTCCTCTTAATTTGAAGAAAGTAAAAAGCAGTTTGCAAATGAAAAACAAAACATTCAGCCAAATGTCTCGCAATTTCTTACATTTTCTAAATTATAATTAGTTCAAAGAAATTTTCAAATGACAATAGTGAATAGAAACTTAATTCAGTTGTACATATTTAAAAAAAAATGCTGAAACCTTTTTGAAATGTTTTGTCTGATCATGCCAATTTTTCCAAAACAACACCACTTTGTGAGGATTGAATTCACTCCATTGGCAAATGGTTAGGTAATCTGGCTTGTTGACTATCACTGTGCTAGATTTTTTTTCTACTTTAAATATAAAAGGATTGAAATGCTTTTTAATTGTTAGATTTTTTTTTTCTCAAGTTTTTTTTCTTTTACTTGACTTCAGCCATGTGAGCATAATTGTAAACAGAATATCTTACCTCAATGGCATCTTAATTCTGGACTCATGAAACTGCCACTTCTTTTGCATACAGTGATCCAGTAAAAAAGTCCGAGGGCAGGATCCCTGTTCTATTTATTATAATCCAGCTGAAGCTTGACCCATGCCACTTTTTTCCTTAAGGCAAATATGGACCAAAAATACCCTTATACTTTACAATCAGAAAGAGACAGCTGAACTCTCTGGAAACGAAAGAGAACTAACAGAATTTAACACGTTTTCCACTGACATGAAGTGGAGTGATTGTATTGAAGCAACTGTTAGGTCTGATGCTAGTAAAGTTGTTTCACTGTGTAGTGCCAGACAATTTTTATCGCTAGAATCTATTTTGCACACTTATAAATCCACCATGCATCCGTGCATTGAATATTGTTACTACATCTGGTCCGCTGCTCCTGCTGTACAGTGGATTATGAGAAGTTTGTAACCACCCTTGATTACAGCAATTTTGGCTTGTGTAATAAAGTCCCTTCTTTTTTCCGACAATACTGTATTAGTATCAAGCGGCTCTCATCTATGAACAATAGTTTATTATACATTTTGCAATGAAAGTTCGTGGAAGTAAGGAAATTAGTGAATTTCAACGAGGGCAAATAAAAGGGTGACATCAGTGTAGCAAGTCAAATAAAGAAATTGCTAGGTTTTCCAGGTTAATCATCAAACGGCTAATAATATTGTCAAGAAATTTAATGAAGAAGGCCATTGTCGTTTGAAAAAAAACGTTCAGGAAGACCAAATATCGTGTCTGAAAAGTGCGCTGAAGAGGGAAGTCATCAGAAACCGTTATCAGAGCGTCAAAGATGTTGCCAACAGCATTGAAATGTCGTCATCTTAATTTCAGAGGTTAGCAGGAACAGGCGTATCGACTGGGTGAGAAAATTCGAGAGCAAAGATTATGAAGTTTGGCAGTCTTTAATTTCGTCAGATGAAAGAAAATTCTGCCAATATTCGAATTCGATACAGATTTATGTTTGGGGAAGTCAGAATGAGACTTGGAACACTGAATGTCTGCAGGCGACCGTGAAACATGGAGGGATTAGAGTAATAGTGCGGGGCGCTGTCTGGTTTGGAGCTGATTCTTGTTGACGAACAGTTGAATGGGCCAAAATACAGATAAATATTAGAGAAAGGACTACTCCCATTATTTGAAATCAATCACATTGACAAGAATGTCTACCTTTTTCAAGAAGATGGAGCGCCATGTCATACGAGCAAAGTAGCAAAGGTCTGGAAGGAATCGTAAGGAATCAGGTCATTGCCATGAATCCAATAGAGAACGTTTGGAAGCACCTTGTAAACTTCGAAAGCGTGCAACCAAACTAACGTCAGTGGCAACCTTTAAAGAAACATTGCTAAAGGAATGGTAAAATATGGCTCAGACGTTTGTTGATAACTTGACTAAATCCATGAAAAATCGAATATAAGCACTGAAACTAGCAAATGGATGACCTATTCCATACTAGTTCCAAATACTGTTTATTTATATTGAGTTGGGTTTACGCAATTAAATTTTGAAATTGAATGTCGTTTATTTCTCCTGGCTAAAAACTTTTCTTAGGCCACTGTATATCTTGAGATTCTTATCAAAATCCAAAGATAATTCGTTAATGTTATCAGTCCTGACCTGGCATCTTGACTTCAGTCCCTTTTCCAACATCATGACGTGCCGTCCCATTGTCTTACTACTAGACTGATAACTAAGTCTTATCATTTTACTGTTGAACTAGCTAGATGCAACCGTAAGTTCTATTCTAATAGTTCCTTTTCTTGCACTTCTCGGTTTCTTGCTTTCCTGTCACCTGCAAACTTCAAACCCATTGCCAATCATCATCTTCTGTTTTACTGACTCCTGTTCTTTTATTGTCCTTTCTCCTAATTAAACTTTTATCAATATCTTCCATCAGCGTCTTAATGGCATTAATACTTGCTTGGAGGTGAAATGAATAAAGACAACTTAGAGAACATACTGAAAACAATATAAGCAGGAGAAACTACTTAATGAGATTGTGTAGATGTCAGGTAGAACATGTAAAATGAAGGATGGTAAAGAGTAGCTTAGGGTAACAAAAGACGGTAAGCTTTGGAAAGTCATGGTGCCCACACACTGAAGTAAAAAGAAGTAGAAGTTATTTTCAAGGCACGTTCTACGACCAAAATGCGTACATTGACTCACTTCATCATCGAAACACTTGCCTTTCAGGAGGTCGTCAGCTGAAACGTTAAATTAAAGATTAGGTTTATTTTTTAAGAATCTCTACGCCATGGTCTTTCAGGGCGATCATGGCTCTTCATATCTTCCTGTCTTTTGTTCTTCTCGGCATTATTTGCTTCTTCACGAGTTCTTCTTTGTCTTTATATTCTGCTTAAACGAAAAAGATTTTTCGTATTTACAGATTTCAAACAGTATTAAATACATTTTTATCTGGGAAATTCTTACATAAATTTATTTTTTAAGACCCGGCAAAAGTCATCCCTTATGCTTATTTAATATTGGTTAGTTGAGGCAAAACTCCATCATTAGTCGGACCTCGGTGAAAATCGAATTCACTGTACGTAATTATTTACTAAACGCCACAAGCATCTGTTTATCCACCCGTCAAGCATAAATTCGTTTATCAATCCTTTAAAGGTTATTTAAAGCCAGAATATATATTGAGATTTGAAGAATTTCTTTTTTGAAGATAATAATGGTTTAGTGATACAAGTCTTACTAATGAACATCTGGAGCGAGAAGAGGTTATATTCACTCGCGTGCAAGTCTCCTTGAGAAAAGGTATTTGTACGCAAGCGAATATAATGAACCCAAGGGAAATCAGAGCTTGGCTCTCCGATTAACAATTCAGAGCCATTTTCCATTACATCAGCCGAATATTAGCTTACAACACCTGATATTCCCAAGTGGTCATCCATCTAGTTTCTGACCAGGCTCGACATTGCTTACCTTTTAGTATGGGAACAGGTGTTTGAACGTGATGTGAGTCAGGATCGCAGTAGTGATCTAACAAATCAGCTTGTTAACCATTACTAGGCGCCCAGTTCTCTTATTACGCTTTAGCTTAAGAGCTTCTATCAATAAATCTGTAGCCTGAATTTTGATGTGATTTTTTTACTATATAATATTCAATTTATGGGATGTATATTCACCATGAAATTAAGTGCATTGACAAGGAAGGGTGGTAATGCTGAGACGTAGATATTTCCTGTCTAAAATAAATGCTTCTTTCGTCAATATACTATGGAAGTATTGATAAAATTACGTACAGTGTCCGTGACCTATACTGCCTATTCAAAACATGCCAACTATAGTCATAAATTATTGTTGTTGAAAATCTGTCTGTGGTACTCAGCGATAATTAAATCTAATTTTGGACACGTTTCAAATAAAAGAGGCTTTTTACCTCTCTCCACCACGATGATTAGTTTGACATAAGGTCACTATTAACGTGGAGTTATATGTTGAGTCTTCTTTTATGTGTCGTGTCCATTCAGGGTGTAGGTGATCATGGCTCTCCACTTCTTCCTGTACCTTGTAGCTCTCAATAAACTTTGACTTTTTGTTATTTCTCCGAGACTCTGTTCTGCTATCCACTTTCTTAAGCTAGTTAAGTATGTCACGCGTTGATTTCCCTTATCTCACTTTCCCTTTATCCGCCTTGTGAGTATCAGATTTTCTAAGCTCTCCTTTCTCATTACATATCCCAGAAATTTCCGCTGCCTCTTCCTGATGTTAATTATGAGTTTTCCTTTTTGTTTGCAGCCTCTCCATGTTCGATTCATGGTATCCTCAGCGTTTTTTCTGTAGAACCACACCTCTGCTGCTTCGAGGCTCTTCTTCATCTTTGAAGAGACTGTCCAACATTCGCTGCCGTAAATGAGGGCATATAGCACATAGCAGTTCAGTATTCTTTTCTTTGTTACCAACGGAGCCCTCATGTCTCGTAATACTCTGCTTAGCTTTTAAAATGCGTCCTTAACCATCCCAGGACGCGTTCGGATCTCAGCGTCGCACTTACCGTCCTAGAACACTTCTCAGATATTTAAATTTCCGCACCTGCTTGATTTTAGTGTCTCCGACCTGCAAATCT